TATTATCCCGGATACTAATATATTAAAGTATTTAACTAGTAGTTATAAACAGTTTAAAGTACTCTAATATATCCTTCTGTCTATTTATATAAAACTATTAGACTTAGTTATCCGCTTTAGATTAGATCTATCTGTATAAGCTCTTAGTTTAACTGATATTAAGATACTACTTAGTAATATAATATTTTATATTATACTAACTAATATACTATTCCTACTATATCTCTAAGATATAGATCAGTTAGATATTTAATATAATAACTTAACTAATACCTTATAGAAAGATAATATCTCTATTCCAGTTATCTGCAAATAGGGCTACCTATAGTTATTATTAAATAACTATAAAATAACTACTTACTTCCTTACTAAGATAGAAATCTAATATATCTATTATTACTTTAGTTATCTATCTATTACTTACCTTAAATATATATTAGAATAGGCTAGCTATAATATAGATAAATAAATTATTATAGTAATTTTAAAGATCTACTACTACTATTAACTATTTACTAGTTAGCTATATTAATTTAAGTTTAATCTTTATAATAACTATAAGTTTAACTATAAACTAATAGTTAATATTATATATCTTAATAGAAATAAGCCTATTCTATATATTATTAACTCTACTATATTATTTAATACTACCTATTTCCTAAAAGATATTTCTACTTAGTATATCTAGTAAATATTATATCTTTATTAGATTAATATTTATCTAGAACTACCTGATTAGCTAATTACTAATACTAATACTAGCTTTTAAGTAATTAAATTCTACTATAAAGCTCGGATAATAGGAATTTCTATTAAGGAAGTACTAATCAAAGTATATTATAGTATTAGTAAAATCAAATATTATTATTTACTAATCTATTAAGTATATAAAATTATTAGATCAGAAGACCTATTAATTATATAAGAGTCTGTATTATAAATAGCTATTAAATTAGTAAATAATACAGCTAGACCTAACAGTCTGATTCCTATACTTCTTATATTCAGTATATTTCCTTATATAATAGATAATTATATACCCTTATTATTAATAGTTAAATATACTAAAGCTTTATATAAAGCTATAAATAAAATTAGATAACTAAAGGCTAAATATATAGTTAATAGAGCTCTAGTAATAAGAAACAGACCTAATATATCTAATATATTAAACCTTCTACTATAATCTGATATTTATATATAGAGGGAGGTTACTAAATTATAGTAAGAACTATTTAAACTCCTAGCTATTAAAGAAGAGAAATATATTATTCAGATACTATAGAATCTATAATTATTCTATTTAACTATTATAAAACTATTCTACTATAATACTAATTATCTATTTAATATAATTAACCAAGATCTATTAGATAATAATCTACTATTAGATAAAACTAATAACTCCCTACCTAGTAAATTAAATAATTCCCTAAATAATAACTCTTTACCTTTTAATAAAGATAAAGATAAACCTATATTAGATATAATTATTATTAATATACTATATTATATAATATAATAATAATATAATATTTAACTACCTGCTACTTTTATATCTAAGATTAATAATTTTTCTAATCCTATTAATAAGCTGAATTCTAATAATAAATTTAATAATAATATTAATAGTCTATATCTTATTATAGATAAAAATAATACCTTATTCCTATCTGTAAAAGAATAATCTGATCTTAAGTTAGTAATATCCCTCCGAAAGAAAGGGAAAATTTATATACCTAGTAAACTATTTAAATAGTCTAATCAAACTAAAATTAATACTCTAATAGATAGAGATATCTTTAAGATTACCCTATTTAATAAGAAGCTATATACTAAAATATATATCTTTAACTCTTATATAGTTAATAAAATTAAGGGTAAAGATACTAACTAACCTTATAAGAAATTATAATTAGTTATATAAAACTATACTAATAATAAAAAGCAGACTATCTTAATATAGGCTCTAACTATCTAATAAGTAAATTAGAGATTTATTCTTTTAATTACTCTATTACTTTTATAAGATAATAATCAGATCTAACTATAGCTTTATAATATTATATAAGTATATATATAATTATTAACCGAACTAAATTATATTATACTAGCCTATCTACTAGTATAAATCTATTATATATATCTACCTAGTTCTATTATAATAATTAAGAAACTACTTTATAGAATAGCTAAAGCTAGTACTTATTAGTAGGATATATATAATAAATATTATAGAAAAAGACTCCAGATAGAATCTTTAACCTATAATCTGTATTTATTAATTATAATAGCTAATAATAACTCCTTTAGTATTATTAGAATACAGACTAATAATATAATCAGACTATCAGATACTAAATTTAATAAATAGGAAACTAACGAGTTAAAGAAAGTACAGTTTACTACTAAACTAAAGTAATACCTTATACTTAATAATCCTATTATATTTAATAAAGAGATTATTAATCTTAATACTAATAGTATTATCTAACTAAAGTAAAAAGATTAAAGTAGTAAACTATAACTTATTCAGTTAACTGACTAAATAAAAAAGTAATATATTAAATAATATACTTACAGTATATATATTATATTAATCTGCTAACCAGAAGTATTATTTAATCTATCTATAGCTATATAATACTAAGATCTATTAGATATATAAGTTAAGATACTAAATAGATATATCTAATAGTAAATTAATAATCCGGATTAAGAATTAAACTTTATCCCCTTAGACCTAAAAATAGCTAAACTCTTTATATTTATTAATAGATTATTTACTAATAACTAAGACCTAATATTACAGCTTAGTTTTATTATTATCTTAGCAAATAAATATAAATATAATAAGAATAATAACTTATTCTGATTAATAAGTAATATTATCTATTACAGTTTAACTAAATATAAATATATTACTTATTCTATTCTTATATCAGAGGTTTATAGTATAATTACTAGTATTAATATTATATATATAATTTTAATTACCCTTTAAATAGTTACTAACTATTTATTAATTAACTATATTCTAACTATTATATATATAGATTTATATTTATTATATAAATACCTAGTTAAACTTAGTATAATAAAAGAAAAATAACTTATAATTAATATAATAGCTCTATACTAATTATATAAATACTATAAATTAATAGAAATATATTAGATTAATAGTAAAGATAATCTTACTAACTACTTTACTAAATCTACCCCTAACTATTTATTAGAATAGTTTATTAATAATAATTCAGTTATTATATATAAGGAAGAATAGGTTATATATAATTAATATAACTAACGGATTTAATAACTTTATATTAAATAAACTTTATACTTTATAGACTTATATTTAATAAACTTAATAGATTTATATATTTATATATATTTAATTTATTATTATATAGACTTCTGCTTTTAGATAGATATTTCCTATCTGTATCTAGTTATTATATATATATCTTATTTCCTTTTAAATTAAAAGGAAAAAGAAAAGATTATCTATATAGATATTCTTATCGGATATCAGTTTATCGATATCCAGTCTTATTAATTAGTTATATATACTTATCCAACCTTCGGTTGGAACCTTCCAACAGATAGCTTTTATCCTAATCATCACTCTTTTGCTCAATTCGTTGCTTTGCTTTGCTGTACAGCCCTTTGTCAAACCACAAAATACTACAGCTTTATGTTATGACACCCTCCCATGATGTGGTTCAATTTCAACCAAGACTTTCTTTTTGGACCCACAGAGTTCGGGATGAAGCCGTCCATCCAGCCGCGAAAGCCGAGACTTAGAACTCAATACTAGGACGGTGATCCCGAGTGGCCATTCAGTCAGCATACTCAACGATCCCGTGTCCCTTGACGTAGCAGAAGATTGCTATCATACAGAGATGATAATGGAAAACATAGGACCAAGACTTCTCAGACATATAATCTGATCCGCGTGAGAAAACAACAACGGGTAGGATGTTGATCAATGACCCACCGGCCGGCCGGAGTACGGAGTAAAATACCGTCCTCGAGGCTAGACTAGCCTTTCAGTTTACCTTCCCCGCTCAAGGTCCATGACCGTACTTGGTAACTTAAGAAAGTAGAGACTTGTATTATTGAGAGAAAACAGCTTTTAGAGCTCTCTTATCAGTATATTCTCGCTCTCCCCACATCTGCACTGCTTTAGAAGACTATGCGGCGGCCATATCAACGACCCCGTTATGGTCTTGCCGCCTTCAATATCAACGACTTCGATATCAATCGGGATCTTCCTACACTGTCAGCAAATTCATCTAACTTCCAAGATCAGTGAATTTCATTCAAATAAACATAGTGCTGGATGGTGCTCAGCGTGAATCAAAATTGGTAATACCACACTCTTCTGGATATACACAACATACAAACCACTTTGCACCATATTGGTAAGTGCCCCTCACGGGCTGTAGGAACGGGCGGTTTTCGGGGATCAGTCTCAAGGCTGGGACGTCTTATCGATCGGTGACCCTAGATCGAGTCTCGGCATCTCCATGATTTAGAGGGCATCCCGAATTCCCGACTACAGGGGTCGGCAAGTGGAGTACACCTTCAAGTGAGATAGACCCAATGGTTACCTATGTTCGTAATGCACTAACTCCATTAGAATGCCATGCTACTCTCTTTCGCTCGGGGGCCCCATCCGAGGATATGTATAATGTGAATCATGGACAGGATTGACGAATGCATCTGTAGCCGAGTTTAGGTGTTTCTGATAAGGGCATAGAAGTCTCATCCACATGGTCCAGAAAATCTCTCAGATGTTCTTCAATGAAATCTTATCACTTTCCGGTCTTCCTATATATTGAATTTGAATTCGAGGTGGCAACCTGGCCGGCTCATTCTCCGTAGGGCCGTGATCCATAAAGCCGTGATCCAAAATAAAGGGACATAAAGCACCCATTGCATAATTTGCTAGGCCACCGGTTCTACATTTTACGTATTGCAAATTCGTCATGTCCGGTGTTCCCGGTAGCAGTTCCAGAGAAAAGAATCCACCCTCAAATTCCGGGGTTGAGGAATCTCCATCCCCAGGTTCAGCCTCAACAATGGGGCGGAGAAAACGCCAATATGTCCCCAAAGTAAAAGGTAAAGGAGGATATAAAATCTATTTAAATCTGTTTTATATTAATGAATTCATACAGGTTGTTACGAGTGTTCAAAGCGCCGAATAAATTGTGACAGGACAGAGCCGGACTGTCAAAAGTGCGTGTCAAAAGGCTTAAGCTGCAGCGGTCTTGGCCAAGGCTACACATTTGTAGATGGATTTTCATCCGGGCGCTCGGTAACAAGAAAGAGCAGAGAGAGATCTAGCGGCAGCCCTCCCAATAACAACAATCCCCCCTTTTCACAACTATCTCCAAGTCATTTTGACATGGGAGATGATTTCAGTGGGGCCGACTTTTCAGAATATGATGGTCAATGGGACTTATCCAGCCTCCCTCAGGATCCATCCCAGCTCTTTCCCACCGCATTTCCAGATTTCTCTATGCCTGTATCCGGCTCGGGCTATTACGATCCCTCAGCTCAAAGCTTCAGCAATTTGCCGCCACCAAATCAGTTTGACAACGCAGGACATAGACAGACGACAGAAGTTAATTATACGGACGCACCGGTAGAATATTATGAGGAAGCTTTGAGCGTGGAGGACAATGAAGAGCCCGATTCCTTTGGCTGTAGGTCGCAATATTTATGGGATAATGTATTATTAGTGACAACTTGTACTTAGACTTGCATGCCGGAGACCCGAACTATACAAACTACCATTTCGATAATCCTGGCTGAAATATATGTTTGCCCAGGAAAGACTTGGGATAACACCCGACCTGGTCAGTGACGAGAAATGAAGAAATTATTTGATATTATCACAACTGTGTTTCAACCAACAACACGAGAAGGATTTCCCTCAGTTCATCTTATCATAAGGAAAGAGCTCAAAAATAGAATAAAAGAGGCGTTGCTAGCGTCTACCCGAGGCAAAACATGTATATAAAAGAATTCATGGGGTGTCAGACATACCCGGTTAGCAATGGGTTTGTTTAGATGCTCATGATTGAATTGGGATTCGTTTCGGCACGGGCTATTCCCTTCTCTGTAAACTATAACTGATACATGATAAGTTATTTAGTTCCCTTTCAATAGAAGGCTTTTGGCCGAACCATCCCACATACGGGTTGTGTTTCATACAGCATCGTTATTGAAGCTAAGCGGGAAATATAAATCTTTGTTGTTGTTAACACTAAGATATTTATTTCTCTTCCAAAGTTGAGCTCCATTATTGGCGTCAATACTCAGAATCGACTTCATAACCAGAAAATTGTGCCCTACTCACACCAAAAATTAAGGTCTGAGCCCAAAGCTTTGACCTCTAGCAAGGTACATGAGGCCTGTGTCCTAAAGACATATGGCTTATCATAGACTTCAATTACTCGACTTCCATCCAATACTATTCTACTATGGGTGTTCTTCTCCACGTTTGTGGGGGGTTTTAGTTTGTTCATCCTCGTTGTCAGCTCGAGGATCTGCCGATAGCTCGACATGATCATCTTGACCAGGAAGCTCTGGAATCGTGGCGGGATTCCCAAACTCATCTGGTTTACCTTCACCCGGTACCCCGAAGTTGGACATCGGGACCGTTGTATGGTAAACCGAATGGCTGCGAGACTGCTGGTCCAGTTGGGGCGAATAGTATGTTGTTCCTGCACTCCAGGGTCCCAAGGAGGACTGGTATGCGGTGCCTTGGCTCTGGTCCGCAACAGACATATGTCCCTGGGGTGAGGATAAAACGGTAGCAATTTCACGGCTCCTTCTTCGTCGGCGAACAAATATCCATACCCCTATAGCGACCAGCGCCACGAAAACAGCAGAGCCGATCGCAATGCCCACAATTGGGCCTGTGCCCAGCTTATTGCCACCCGGGTTAACGTCTCTCGTAGGCTCCCTCGTCGAAGTATCCGCGACACGAGTCATCAATGTTTCCAAGTCCGAATGAGACCATCCATTAGCTGGTTTCTTCTTTGTCGCCCCTCCAGAAGACTCCCCTCCGGTAGCTGAGAGCACCTCAGGGGGAACCTGGTACTTCTTTTTGCTCGGGATGTACCTCAGCCAAAAGGCCTGTTCTTCATTATTCTTCCCCAAATCGAGGTTGTGGATGCCTGAAAATGATTCCAAGTTAGAAAAGTCTCTAATTTCTTAGGATCTGACGTTCGGATACTGATGACTTACCCCATGCTAATTCGCAATCATCGTGCTCCGGAAAGAAACCTCCATGTACAATCATCTGGGCAGTATTGACAACGTTGCAGGACATACTGTGGTGTGGATTTGACCCTGGGTCTTTGGATTCTTTCGGGAACAGCTTCACCCAGGTGAATGTAGGAATGCTGAGGACGTAAACATCGTCGAAGCCGAGGGAGCCATCCTTTTCCCCCATGCCGCCATACAGATATCTTTACCAAGGTCAGCGGCTTTAGAATTGAAGATCATTCTCTCAGGGGAAAAGATCCTTACATGTTATATGAAGACTGATCTTCCACCCAAGTCACGCCGGCACAAAACTTACGGCGAATCTGAGGTATCGTGCCCGTTGCTGTTTGTTTGTATCTCCTGCCACTTGTCACGTCGTAAAGCAATATCTCCTCCATTGGTTGCCCTTCCCATTTTCCATCTTGCTTCTGGCGTATGCCCCCGAAGTATACCAAAAATCCTCCATCTCCGGCGGGTATATATACCATCACGCCCTCCGCTCGGCGGAAATCATCGAGCCCAGTTGTATTGGACCATGAATTCTTATCCATATCATAGATCAATAGGCTTGATGTCGCTACTTGAGAACCCTCCCAGTCTGGTGCTGTTTTACTGTTCATGTACCCTCCGTAATAATACGCCTGGCCACGATTGGGCACAGATACTCCAGCACCATAGCTCAGGCTCATAATATTATCAGACTTCGGGTACCCAAAGCTATCCCAATGATCATTTAACACGTCGTAAGAGTATAATCGAAAGTCTTCGGGCTTCCCTTCGTTTTGCTCCCCGCCAAAGAGATAGATCCGCTTATTGACGGTATCGGGCCAAAACACTCCACCATTGACGTTTGGGATTGACGCATTCTTCGACAGACCGGTATGCGGTGGTGGCATGCCCTCGGAGGCTACGGTGGAAAGATCATGGTATATGAAGAACGTATCTTTTGTGCGTTGTTTTAAATTAGTATTAGCCCTTTGACATATCGGGGAAGTCAACGATCGACGTACTGCTCACGTTCTGATGGCTACTATCCCCCGAAAACGTCATGAACCCGCCATCAATATACAGTTTGTCGTCAACGACGGCCGTCTGGTGGCCCCATCGGCGGCAAAAATTCTGCACCGGATCTCTTTGTTGAAGGGAGCTGCCGACGAGTAGTAGCAGACACGCGACTACTGCCCGAAGCCGCGCCGCGGCCTGCGACATTTCGGGATTTTGTGCTTAATTAGAGATCAGCTTTACCTTCCCGATACAGATGTGAATCACCGCCAGCTAATGAGCCTGGCATTGACTCGGCATGCCTCTGGGTGCGACAGGACGTATGAAATACCAACTCCTCTCGAGTCAAGGTGTGATGACGAGAGCCCAAAACTCAGCTATGGGAGGAGGGGAGAGCAAGAGGGCACCTACGCCTTTCAATCAATCTACTTACCTGAGACAGGGGCGGGAAAGCGGTAATAATCTGCAAAGATTCGTAGGCATGAAAACACCGGATGTAAGCCCGATGAGTTACACGAGACTGGCGTAGCGGGAAATGCAAACCTGCGAGGACTAGATCGAAAGGCTTAGTGGATGAGATTGAGTAAGCATAAGCTCTGGTGAATAGAACCCAACCAATGACGGAAAGTATAAGAGGCATGACAAAAGACCATTGCATGCATTTGGATGCTGTGTGGCTGTATCATGGCAGGGTACAACAGGCTATCTTACGGAGCCGGCACCAAAGTCTCTGAAAGTACGTCAGTACAGCAGTGATTCTCGTGAAACAGCTCAATTGAGTATGCTCTTCAAGGTAGATCCTTCGTATCGGTGCAACGATAGGCATTTTCCCCCTACCCGCTCGGAATCTTTCGAACGAAACTCTCCTCACGGTATAGTCGCTCCGTCCATTAATGAGTAGATCCATAGGATTTCATTTGTAGCGATGATTTGTCTCAGCGTATCACTGAGCCAACTCCCACGACCTTGAACTTTAAGAAGACCTGAATGGTGGCGGCATTGTCCAACAATGTTTTCGTACAATGCAGCAGTTTGCCATAAAACCAGTTCATATCCGCGGGAATACTCCGATTTGTGGCATCGTAAGCAAAGACGTGTCAAGCTGTTGGGGGCACCAAGGCTTGTGGCATGAACCTGAGGTCGTATTCGCTCACACACCGACCCCTGTATGTCTGAAGCTTACACAAGGACTCACCAATGATAATCGCAAATCCTTTCCGTTCTCTATGCACCTCATGCATGTGGCGGTATACTGGCGGCCGTCTCCCGATCACTGCTCAAATGTGAGACCCAAGGATCCAAGGAGAAAAGCCAGAGTAAGCTGATTGAATACCTAGCCTGCCTTTTCATGCGGTGCGCCAATATGATATCTCGGGTGGACGTAGCTGACCCTGCTCAACTCGAAATTAATTACTTTGAATATGAAATAAGGCCCTATACTAAAGTCTGCCGTCATTATTCCGAACTTGGATTCCAAGCGTGGCTTGTTAGCACGCAGAAGCTATAGCGTAGCGAGGCTACATGGGAGATCAAGCCTTCATTTCTCGTGAGGACGTCCATTGGCCATCCCTAGAAGATAATACTTTTTTAGGTAGCAGTATTTAGCTGACATGCTGGATTGCAAGTGGAATCAACAGTCGTAAGTTCATGTATCCCATATATCTTTCCACGAACAGGTTCTTCTAGTACCCGTCACAACCACGCAAACCTTCTTCCTCCCACTCATGAAGAGCGTCACAACAAGGAATACCTCATTTTTGGCTGTGAGTGCTCATTTCCCTTGAACATTTCTCGTCAAGAAACTAACCATCAAACATGACAAACCGATCGTTTCTGTCTGAAGTCCAATGGGTGTGCAGCAAAGTGATCTGATGAGATCGCAAATTGAAGCCAAGGTCAAAGCAAGCTACATCCAGGAAGGCATCTCCCTGTTCTACCCTGACATATTCCGGTATTAAGCCCTTTATTAGAAAGTCATGTTCACTAATATGTTTCTCGCGGATGGGAGTCTAGTGCTAAGAAGAGGATTCATTGATTTTAATACTATATCTTCATAATAAGTTTAGAGAGCATTGTTTCAATTTCGACAGCAGAACTCACTTTAATTTGTCTAAAGTTTTCTTCAGTGGGATTTAAACGATTTTATTTTATATATGGTTCAGCCATTATTGATTCAGGGAAGCTACCGGTTAAAAAAGGTAATAGAAGGTTGCTTAGCAGTCCAAGTTTAGCAAAAAAATAAAATAAAAAAAAATAAACGAAAACCTATCATTCGGAAGAATGCATAAGATGGTCCATTTTTGTGAAATATTGATCATAAATAATAGTCTTAGCGCGATGTCTATTTAGACCTTGATCACTATTTTCAATTACTCGTGTCTGTTGAAGGAACTCCGCATTTTCTATTCATCTATAGGCCAAACAAGAGACAGCCAACAGCAGTAATACCTATTGCTACACCCGCTCTACTATTGTATCTGGATGCCCCATCATTTGTATTGTCACCATTACCAGTCGTAGAAGCTGCGGGTTGGTCCGAGGTTTTCGATACTTTAGCCCAGTCAATGACCACTTCTCCAGTAGGTAAAGACAGTGATGATCTAATGATTGCATTGGTCACGGTGGCAGTATACTGGCCCCCGGTAGATGTTTCAACAAGTGCTTCAGTAATGTTCCCGGTGCAAATGTTGCGATATGTTGTAGTGAATGGCCCGTCGCAGCTTGTAGCAGAAGATAAGGACGAAAGCTTGCTTTCAAGGCGATTGAAGTATTGCGCCACTGAGGAATGATAATCGGCGTATGCAGTGACTTTTGATCTTTCGGAGAATTGGACGCTGCAGGCACTGATGGACTGAAGACCTGGTGCAGGTGTTGGGAATGTGAGTTCGCTTGAAACATAATCTTTACACGATTCCTGGCGCTGGACAAGTGTGGCCGTTTCTGCTGCAGGATGAACTGCTCCCGCAGTGGTCTGCCTGGCAGCGAAGGCCAAGGCCCAGAAGGGCATGATGGAACGCATTCTACAAAGATGTCCGACTCCCGACTAAGAAAATGACTTGGGATGGTATGCAGGCTTGAAATTCAAGATCTAAGTTCTAGCAGCCGGCAGAAGAGTTTTTAAGTTTAATACTCTCTGATCTCTGAACGGCATGATTGAAGATGATAACAGCGTTCATGCTTGATGCTAGCGCTGATGACAATCTAAATATGGCATGGGAAAGTGGCTGGTTTTCCACACGGCCACTTCTAAAGCCAACGCCAAGCCCGACTTAAGAGCAGCTTGTTTGAAACTACTCGTCAGTGGGTCCTGATCGTCACCACATGCCCTTGAAATAGCACAGCTGGAGTGAGATTTAAGAGGCTGACTTGACTTTGATCACGGTTGTGTCCAACCAAAGCAGCTAAGATCCCCGCTCAGCCCTGCTTTCTGCTAGCTGACATGCTACTCTGCTGTGTGAGGCGCAGACGATGGTGGCTGGGGAGTTAGGTCTGAAGGGCAATAATCATGGTAGGATCGAATGACGTCACGATTAGCTCTCCAAAATGCTAAAATATAGTGATTGAATCCAGTCGCTTGTGCAGAATTGTTCGGTTGAGTGGAACAAGTTCATAGAAAGCCAGGAAGAAACGTGGCAAACCCTTGCCTGGACATTAATTGGGCGACCTCTCTTCTGAGCCTCAGCTTACAAGAGCTAGCCACTCCTCACAAGTAATGAAGTCAAGAGAAGGAGTTATCTCAACATAACGACTTGGCCATTTAGTACCATAGAGCCTACGTGTGATGTATTGACTTTATCACAGGTAGGAGGGTTAGGGAAGACCAACTTCCTAGATATCGGGATGCTTCTACAACTACCGCAACCGAGTTTAGTAGGAAACTTGAAAGGGATTTCTTTTTTCGGTGAATTTCCATTAAAACAAATCCTCGCATCGATATAGAGAGAAGATAGTGTTTTCGTTCCACCGATGTAACCCATATAACGTGAGGCGTGGGTTTGGTTGCGACTCATTACTAGTTGAGTGGGTGACATTAAATTTGAGACACTCAAGCATTGAACTTCTTCCCTATTTCTGAGCCTACGATTGGTACTTTCAAATTATCTAACCCTAATAAGGAGAGTTCAAGAGGCAAAACACTAAAGATTATCAATATATTGATTTATAACACTGAAGTAGTTTCGCCATTGTAGAAAGTGGTCGCCATTCAATCAATCGGATGTCTTATTACTTCTGTCTACTAGTGTAGGTTTGACGTTCGGCGTTGGACCGTAACCAATTTTGGCCATCTCCCCATCTAGAAAGAAAGCCGATTTATCAATCTAAGGGTATGCGTAATCAATCTATTAGCATTACTCAATGGTATTAGCTCCTTCGCAACTCCGAGCACGCGACATTTCGTTCCGTTGGCTGCCCCAGCCGTTGGCATGTCACATCAGCAAGGCTAAAAAGCCAGGTGGGTTTTCTCACCGTGAGAAAACCCACACGTTTCTTCATCCCTGCGTCGTCTTCGGAGTTCCGACGCCCCAGACGTTCCCACTCCAGTTCGTAAAAGAACTCTTTTACAATGGCGTTTTGAACTTCCCTTCTGGCCTAAATCTGATACGTGGGAAAGCTTGGACCCAACTGGATCAAGCTGAATCAGTTCTGGTTCTTGAGCATTCGCTCTAAAAGCAACTCATACAGCCGATACAAAATTAATTCTTGTCATAAGAGCATGGCCTTGCTTGTAGAAAATTATATTCTTTTGGATGACACATCTCTCCATTTTGACTTTCCTAATTCCCAATTCTACCGTAACTGGGCCTGGAGTAGTCGTTGATATGCTCGCATTGTCATTGGGCGGACTAAGATGTTATTTCAAAGTGATAGTTGCTAATCGATCACTTCCGATGGCTCACCCATCACCTTCGAAACTTAGTCTCGACTTTGAATAGACTTTCGCTAAATTGAGCGATGTCCTAGTAAAGCGGCTATCTGATTGATAACTTAAAGCAAATATGACTTGGGGCGGCACCAAATCACTCAATTCGTATCTCCGAGCATGACCACGCTAACGCCCTGTTCAAGACGTACGCCATGAGTTGTACTGTTCCCTACAATCACCCACTGTTACGAAGAAGACATGGCCGTTCTTGTTTGAAAAGCAAAGGGAAAAAAGGTGACCAGTTGCGCTGATCTGTCAATTCCATCTTACGTATATTCACCTCTCTTATACAGCTAACAACTGAGAATTTCAACTTCCGAAGTAGACCCCAAGCTTCCAAATCCTAGCGTGATTCCCGAAACCCTTGAACAAAGGTGACAAAAATGGGCAAAATAGCGCCGGTCCCATTGAAATTATCCATCTTATCAATCGACTTTTGCGGGCGGTTCGTTCCCCACGTGGATGAAAATTTTGGGTCTGGCTTTGAAGGAGGCATTTTGCGTATAAAAGGGGGGGCCACTACTACATTGTTTGACGACTCAGAGTCATCAATTCTTTAGTATTCCACTTCTTGCTCCCTTTCCGCGCTCTGTCGGCACGAGACACACAATGGCGCTCTACAGCATTCCAGGGGCGACAGATTCCCCACAGCAAAAGCCTTTAGACGTTAAAGATGAGACTCGTTTATCAGAGGGAGAGGTACCCTCTTCCTTAGAGGATGATGTGGCTGCCGGACCAGCCACGGAACCTGTTCCTTTGAGATGGAAAATAGCTTCAATTGTCCTTGTTACCGCCATCGGATTCGGGTCCCAATGGAGTTCAGGCATTACGGGCGCGATGAAAACCACAATGAAGAAAGAGTTGAAAATCAACAACACTCAGTTCTCACTTCTCGAGGCTAGCGAGGATTTCATGGTCACCGCGCTGATGCTGCTCAGTGGAATTGTAACTGATCGCATTGGCGGCGCAGGTACAACTCGGATTAGTCTACTATTTAAGCCGTCGCTGACAATACATCTCTAGGTGCTATGGTTTATGGAAACATCATCTATTCCATCGGCTCGATTCTTGTTGCTGGAGCTGCCCAGACCCGCTCCTATAAGTTCATGATTGTTGGCAGGGTAATCACTGCCCTGGGCGATATTGCAACCCAGATTGCGCAATATAAAGTCTTCTCTTCCTGGTTTGCACCTAACAACGGTTTCGCTTCTACTCTCGGCTTCGAGTTGGGTATCGGGAAGATCGGGGCCTTTGCGGGCAAATCATCAGCCAATATCATTGCTAAAAACACAGGGGATTTCGCCTGGGTTTTCTGGGTTGCTGTGTTCATGAACCTATTTACGAACGTAATGACTGGCGTGTTTTATTGGTTCACTAAGGTTGCCAACCGAAGGTTTCATGGTACTGATGATCCAGCTACTGGAGAGAAGCTCACAGAAAAGAGTAAGAAGCTGGAATTCAAGAAGGTAGCCCAACTCCCATGGCCTTTCTGGGCGGTCATGTTGTTTTCTCTATTCGAGACAAGTACCGCAATCGTATTTCTCCAAAATGCCACAGAGCTTGCAGAGCAAAGATTTAGCACGAGCTCTATCACAGCCGGATGGTATAGTGCCACTCTTCAATATGCCGGTAAGCCTTTACCTCCTAGGCCAGTATTGGGACCAACAAACCCTATATTCTGACCTTTTGAGTCTAGGTTTCTTCGTGGTGCCTTTACTTGGCATATTTTTGGATTTATTCGGCAACCGCATCTCCGTTCGTAAGTAATTTTCCTGATCTGTAATGACAAAATATACCGTTAACACCAGTTCACAGTTGTTTTTTGCGGCCTCGGCATGTTCACTTCTATGCTTTTGGTCACGTTCTCGTCCCAAACGACTGGCACGGCGGCTTCGTTCGGAGTTTTTGCTTTTGCATATTGTTTTGGTCCAGCCACCATTATTGATAGCATTCGAACATCTATGTGGGATCACTCCGTCTTCGGCTCTGCGTACGCGATAAAGATTGCGGTAAATAATTGGTATGATTTGATGCTGCTCTCTTGAAACTATCAAATAATGCGTGAGGCTAATCATTCCCCGCTTAGCATGAACATCATTGTCAGAGTCATAACTGGAGTGATCCAAGACAACGACAACAACTCATATAACCGTGTGACTATTGTATATACCGTTCTAGCGGGATGCTCTGTTGTTGTATCCCTGATTCTGGCAGTCCTTGCTTGGTTCTATGTGGACCTTGGTCATCTTCAATGGACACGCAGGCTTCGTATCTCGCGAGGAGAGGTGCTTAATGCACGGAAGGAAAATTTCTATGGCGCGGATGGTCACAGAAACAAAATCATCTCCATGTCATGCTTCGGCTTTATGATCCTACTTACGTTGGGTGCCTGGTGTGCATATTTCTGGGGTGTCGCCACGGGAAACAACAGCTAAAGAAGAAAGACTCCGTTATTACACTTAGAGGACAATTAGCCAATGCTTATTGGCTATAAAAGTTTTTGTTAAATTAATAGCTTAGATATCACACATTGTAACAGTTTCTGCCGTTATTTCGGTCACAATTCTAAAGTTTCTACCGCTGCTCATATACCAAGAGTGTCTTATTGTGCTAAGGAAAACTATTACCTCCTCTTGAGTCTATTAAGGCTTCGAGATATGAATAGTATTATCGGTCTTCTTAACTTGGATAAAGAATACCCAAGCCCATTCTAACAATTCCATACTTACTTGTTTCTTTGCTCATCAGTCATCTTCTGAGGAAGATGCTTAGTCGTCAGGGCATTAGCAGCTGTACAGCGGCCGCCTCAGGTAGTAGGCCGACGGTCGAAGGGAAGAGGCTGCTCTATCACACTGCCTTGGTATATCTAAGGAAGACACACCAAACGTCAGTCCGTAGATTCAGGTAGATCACGTATAATATGATCTGAGGTATATTGAGAGGTTAGACTTTTTCCAGCTTCTTCATCCGGGACAATCATCGCATATCATATGCAACATTAAAATGTCACCACTCTCGGGCTGCATCCTTACGAATGTCAATCAGTCGTTTGGACATGAGATCCTATCAAGAAATCACGGTTAGTTAGCATTCTTACACAATACAACACCAGTTGGGGCAACCTTCATCCGGCTTGAGATTTGCGGACGAAACGTATCATTCGATTCTTGAGTGGATATTGAACACTTTCAGTATACCCGCATATGATCTAGTCACAATTTGTAGCGCGTGCTGTATTCAGACTCGAGGAATCGACGATCTTTAGTGTCAGGATGCTAAGTTTCGTTCGCATAACGTATACTTTTTACCGCCATCCCCAAAAGTGATAGATGATGGTATAATAGCATGCGTTTATGCCCACGCAGACTATACAGAAAACACCATGGGTCAGAACACCCGTTGCGAATTGGCAGAAGCCATGATGCAGGAGTATGAATTGCAGGTGCATTGCCTTGCATCCCGTCACCGCTATTCTCCGACCTACATGTTCACATCATGGGCCTCGATGTTCATTTCAATATCAATTATTTGACAGGCTATGCCTGGCGAAGGTCACACAAGGTGCCGGCTACCTTGGCTGTCAATCAGTCTCGGTTCGGTTGCAGGGAGCATGTGACAAAACCAACATGCCATCGGGCGGCTGCGGGATGTTTGCCAATAGCCCAGCCCCTTCGAAGCGAGATGGTACCACACCTTACGCCTTCATGCATGCAGAATGCCTGCCCACCTGTCAAACTTAGCCCAAAGGCAAGTAATGCCACCCACCTGGAGTTCGCCGAGAGGCCACTCAGCTGCGACGAAAATAAGACCATTGGAATGCAATGCAACCCTCCTTTCCCTTTCCGAGCTAGCCTTCCGAAATATCGGTCTTGACCCTGTAACAAATGATCGACGGGATACTCCCTTACTCCCGAAGTGCAGAGTCGAGGTTCGATCTATCGCCTGGTAGATGGAGATATTGCCACAGTCTCATGAGAGCCCAGAGCGATAAGATTCGAACCTCAAAAGATCCCGGGTAATTTAGCCTATCTCCCGAAGCTGCCAAGTTCTAGTGTATCGCGGGATTGCCGTCATCCATATTCCGCCGGCTAGATAAAGCTTCTCAACAAGAGCAACAGCATCAACACCTCTGTAGGTGTACGTAGGAAGGGACCTTTATTACATTCGGGAAGGGAAGAGATAGCGAGAGTAATATCCAACACTTATTCTAGTTGACCCAGAGATCTAAAAAGATGGTTGAGCGCCATCGCGATCTTACTTTGGTTAGACGGCGGAGATCTCAGGCACAGTAGCACACATAAGGACCTTAAGATAAGCACCCAACTGTGATTAGAGGAATTGACTCGAGAGGACCCGTTCCCGGCCCTCATCTTCTACTATATATGTCAAGCGAGACAAGCGCATTGATCAATATGCAAGAGACCCTGGTTGACAGCCATGGTGGTCACGCCCAGGGCCATGAATCAAAATAAACAATTGCGTATGGGTGCTCTCACCGCAAGACGAGCTTGACACGGATCGGGCCATGGCATTTGGCTCGGAAACAAGTGGGAAACTCGTATCATCCTTGACACGTGGCTCCATACCATATAATCAGGAGATACTTGTGGAAGTCTCCTGCTTCGGTCAAAACCCGTGGACGAGATGGGTCTCGCTTGACACTTGACACCATGCCTAATTGATTAAAGGGGAGGGAGGAACTGATGACTTAACACGCAACCGGACCGTTGAAATGCCTCATTCGGGTTGGCCACCGGCCTTCTTTCTCGGGTGGCTGCTGGAACTTCAATCAATTCCACATCGGAACATGGCAGGGTTCCGGCCTGCTGCGACACAGAGGCCTGCAGCTGTGGCAATCCCCGTTCGCCCGCTTGGTAGCCGTAGATATAAACCGAACTCCCGAGCTTTACCGGACGTTCGCTCGTCTGCTTGAATATGTTTTTGTGTGATTCAAGTCCAAGATAATTATCTATATTTCCATTTTTATTGCATACTACAAAAGGTCATTAGCACGATATAGAGTTGTCAAAATGTCGAGACTTTCCGCCCCAGTCCAGGTTGGATCAACCCCCCTGGAGCATCGAATTGCGCTGGCTCCCCTAACCAGACTTCGTTGCAACGACAAATGGGCTCCTACGGAGCTCACAAAAGGTAGGCAAAAGGGAAAATGCATTTCACATTTTACTTTCATCATGTTTCCTTAGTATTATAAATTATGAAGAAGAACTGGCTAACATGGTTCCCGTCTAAGAATATTACGAGCAAAGGGCTGACGCCCCAGGCACATTGCTCATCACAGAAGCCACATTTATTTCGCGGAGCGCAGCCAGCGCATTAAATGTTGGTGGTATCTGGGAAGAGAAGCAAGTATCAGCCTGGAGGGATGTCACGGAAGCCGTCCATGCCAAAGGTTCCAAGATATTCTGCCAGCTGTCACATGAAGGCCGTGCGGGCGATGTAGCTGTCTTAGAGGCTGGAGGGTTCTCTCTCCTCTCTAGCAGCGCGGTGCCCATTGATTCAGAACATGCTACACCAAAAGAGATGACAGAAGATGATATCTTAGAGGTCATTGCTGATTTCGTCAAGGCTGCCAAGAATGCCATCGCAGCGGGCTTCGACGGCGTCGAGATTCAGGGGGCGAACGGGTACCTCCTGGATCAGTTCATCCAATACACTTGCAACAAACGCGGCGATAGGTGGGGTGGCACCATTGAGAACCGCGTCAGGTTTCCTCTTGAAGTCGTCAAAGCCGTGTCCAATGCCATCGGCGCTGATAAGACCGGCCTCAGGCTGAGCCCATACAGCAACTACCTTGGGATGGGGATGGACTTTCCGGTGCCAACATTCCACTACCTCCTCGAAAACCTGAAGCCCCTCGGGCTCGCTTATCTAAGTCTTGTAGAGGCACGCATTTCTGGGGACAAAGAATCTTGCTGCGGCAACCAGGCGACAGTTCGCTGGATGGTAGAGTATTGGAACAACACCAGCCCCGTCATCATTGGTGGAGGCTTCACACCCGAAACAGCGCTTTTGGCAGTCGAGGAGACGTATCATTCATTTGACGTCATTATTGCTTTTGGCAGGCGATTTATCTCGAATCCAGACTTGGTAAAGAGGGTTCAGACTGGCGAGCCTCTGGTTCGATATGATACGAGCTCGTTTTACCTAGTCCAGTCCCCCAAAGGATACACCGATTACCCATTTAACCAAAAGATTTTAGATGGGAACGTTGTGAGAGTGTTCTAAGATATGAAACTAAGGGGAGTCTCGCAAGTTTTCGTTCGAGCATTCAATGATTAACGATAGATGAATTTGGGTAGGAACTATTAAATGTATACGCAAGGTGTGGAATTCATAAATCCGTCTATGTTGGAAATTTTCTTTCCTTGGAGTTTAGCTTTCTTTTTTATTTCCTGATAGAGGATACTTCTTACAAGCACTTAAAGAGATTGTTGTTATCATGCGTTGTCTATTTACCCTTGCTGAAATTGTAATTCTCTATGTCGACTGTAGATAGAGCATTTTCTGCTTGTAATATCCAATAAGATAGTTACTTTCATCTTCTTAGCCAGCGAGTCATCCTATTTCAATTTAATGCTCAACTCAAGTCAAAGACAGCAAAACACGTTTCGCTGTGAGTTCCTCTCCAGGTTTTCGACCACGACATTACTTTTCTAGATCAAGTATTGATATAAATACACACGTGTTAAAGTCAAATACCCTTAAAGTGAATTTCCGATGCTTCGAAATAAACCTGGAACAAGACAAACCTTCAAGGTATTCAACTCCACCCGTACTCCAGCTGAAAGGCTCCTGTAATAAGCAACACCTAAATCTGCCAACCTAGGTCCTATACACATTTCTATTATCGATTAATCGCCTACGCAGATTTGTTAGTCAAACATCTTCTAGAGCGAAGTCCATTATACTATTACCTCGTACAAAGTCATAATAGTCATCAGAACCATGTATTCAAAGTTGTCGCCCCAGTCCACATTGATCTGGACACTCCCGTAGATCGAAATGCTAAACGCGTGAGTGAAGACGGCGAGGATTTCGCTCCCGCCCCCATCCTCCTCAACCAACTTAAAGTTCCGAGCACTGAGCTGCGATGGGCTCTTGCCATCAATAGCATGGTGGGCTGTCCGCTTCCACGCCAGATTTACAGGGGTGCCGTCCTTTCTGACTGTGCTCCAGCTGAGCTTGGAGTAGTTCCACGTCTCCTTCCGCATATCCTCCCAGACCACGGCGTCGGGGAAGTTCACGACGTCTCCGAGCCCAACCTTCCAACTCCGAGTGAAGAAGGGCTCATAGACGCAGGCGACCGGGGGTGCCGTCTTCTCGTCCGGGCCGACATGGAGGGTCAGGTGGGGCTTGCTTCGGTTGAAGACGCTGGAGGAGACGATGTAGGAGGCGGTCTTGCCTTTGGGGCTGCCGGGATCCTTGCTGGGCTCGAAAGCGTGAAACTCGTACTTTTTAGTGAACCTGACCCATGTCAGTGTGTAGCACTTCCGGGCCTGTATCTGGGTATCCGTGCCGGTAGTGACAGTAGCCATGGGTACATGTAATGAAGAGGACTAACTGGTGACTTGATTCTTGTGACGATCAAACTTAGATATCTTGCTTTGGACAAAGGCTCTCACCAACAACAGAGATTCAGAATAAATACTCATCAATACGTGCCTCTGGGCCACCACGACCAGGCTGCAGCTCATCACGCCCGGGCGTTGCGGGATCTCAAGGGAGTTGTCGAGAGCGAGCAATACGACATGGCTCAGCCGCACACTAACTGCCCCGCTCGATGGCTACGAGTAAACAAGATCGCCAACCATCAATTCACGTGTCTCATTGCATGGCACGACCTGTTGAGTGCACAATGGTGGCATCGAGCATCATTAAAACCGGTTTTGCATGATGTCGCATGTCCGCCTACGTATGCAATTTAGTGTGCTCAACTACCAACAGGCCTAACATCCTCAGCACATCACCTAAATGGCTCAAATATTTAAAATTTGGAAAAGAGATGGGAATACCAAATATATCAAAATGTACCTCCGAGGAACAAGATCATATAACCAAAGCGTTTTGAGTTGGACATAGCCGTTCCCAACTCGGACGTTCCAAACACTACATGTATGAATCTTTTATGTATCCGGAAATGGCGCAAGTTTAATTATTCAAGTAGCTATTTGGGAATGCTTGGTGATGGATTTTGGGTTCCTTATTGCTCAACACATTTATTTAGGAAGAGAAAGTGGCATTTCAATTCATACGCTTCCTTTACTGAGTGAAGTGATGGCCTTCTTTATAGACCAGAACCCAATTACAATATTGATATTCATAGTATCCGCTCAATTGTTTAAGATTAAACTCCAGTTTAAAGGCGGCATTCTCACGAGTTGAGAGATGATTTCCGTCATATGATGCCTTCGATATTTACCTTTAAACAGAGGAATCTTGGCAAGAAAGCATCAGACAGATTCATTCGAGCTTTGCGGAAAGAAAGAAAAAAAGGGAAGAAAACACCAATGTTATGTACTGAAGACCCGTTACCAAGATGCAGACGCAGAAGTGCTATACACTTACATGGGTCAAATTCATCAGCGAGCCGTAGGCCACACCCGTTTCTTGACCCTACTTTGATGCCAATATGTGACTGGTCGTTGTGAGGAGGTCCTCCGCCCACAAGACATGGGTTCTATCAGCTTATACACACCTGAAGCCCTTAAACAAGTCTTCCACAGGTTGATCCAAGACCTTCTGAATCCTTCGAGTGTACTGGATTGGCCGCCTGTACAGGCAGCCATCTGTTAAGTCTACCAACAGCTCCACTCACGGAGCCTTGGCATACTGGCCAGAGACCCTCGCTTGCTGATCCTCCAGCTGCTGCGAATCCCCCACAGTGGTCTAAATACGCAAAGAATCTCTTCCCGGAAGCGGCCCCAGCCGTGTGGAGAAACAGCCACGGCGGAGGCTGAACAGACCGTGATGGAAATGGCTAACGTATGGGAGACAATTCTCACCACGAGGGCAGCCGTAAGACATACGTTCATTTACCCAATATGGCAAGCAAGCTATGAGCTTGCATGGAGCAGCCTTGCACTGTCCTGAACGTGCCATCATTTGCCTCGGACTCTATACCTAATCCACGCATGCGGCCGAGGCCATGCAGCGCATACTCCCCCTCCCTCACAAGAAGTTCGTTCCCGCCCAGTAACCTAAGTTCTAAACATCACAGGCCCCCCCTCGTCATTCTTGCTTCCTTAACCTAGCAATTAGGAGAAAAAAGCCGAGAATTAAGTTCCTACATGCAGGACACTCCCTGCTTAGCTCCCAGGCCGGCTAAAAAAGGCCCCAAACCTTCAATCAGGGCACGTCCATGGCCAAGCCAACAACATTATTAGCCTATAACCAGCCTCATGATAGCCACCCAGATGCCCCTCGCGCATGCACGCTCTGCTACTCTCGAGTCCTGAAGTATGAGGCCTGGCCTCACGACGGTCTCTGGTGCGTAAGAACGGATTCATACACGTGCTGACTCCGCAGCCACAATTCGTGATCCTGCCGCAAGCCAGTGCCATCGGAAGCTGCACCCATCCCCGCCCGTTCTATCTCCGGCAGGCTAGTCTCCCAGCAGATTGGCAGAAGAAGCAAATAAAACACTCAACGAGTCTAGCCACAAGTCTTCATTCTTTAGCCTCCCCGTGGGGGTCACTCGACCAAAAGCACAGTGGACCAGGAAGGAAAAGAAAAAGCAAAAAACAAGGCAAATCCAACACTTCTGCAAACCAGAGTGCGAGAGTGGGGAATCGCCGGATCCCTCTGCCTTGGTCGTCCGTCTTAGCTTCGAATGGAATGAACCAACGAGAGGCAGGATGCTTACATGCAAGGTGAGAGGCCAGGCTGTAGCCACATCACCTAGTGCGGCGCGAGGCTTGCAGTAAGTCGTGCGCTAGATGGTCCCTCCCATCCCCCTGCCACGAACGCAATGAAAGGACTTTGGTCATCAGGAGGGAGGGGGGAGGTGGGAGCTCGGTGAGGAGGCCGTAGCCGAGGGACTTTCTGGACCAAAAGCCCCGAACGGCGGTTGGTTCGACTTTTACTCAAACAGAAAAAATACGCGGCCTAAAAATAAACAACCGGCCTAAAAATATCAGTGGGTGCGGATGGTAGAATTGACTACATCGATGGCAACTGGTGGTCTACATCACTTTGCTCTGAGGCGTGTACTTGCGAGATGAATTCGCGTTTTTTTCGCGATGCGACAGGGAAGACACACTCTCTTGCACTACCGACTGTATATAACCCACATTTCCGACTTGTATCGAACATACTAATGAGAAAAAAGGGAGTGGGATTGCAAGGAACGAGAACACCGATGCTATGGGACGATCAATCAGCAGATTCATCCGCCATGAGGCATTAAAATAACAAAGCAAATAGGCGGGGAATGAATGAGAGTGACACTCAAGAAAAAGATTCGGAAGCGAGAAATATGCCGAATCTCAAACGCAAAAGAATCAATCGCTATTATGAGCAGTGATGTGGTGGCAAAGAAAAAATGACTCGTGAAGAACATGCAAGAAGAAGAAAAAAATCAGAAATCCACCATCTCCTGTACCATGCAAGAGGCAACATCAAATCGGAGGAGAGTCGTAAGCGTGACATAAAAGGACAGAAGAAAAGAAAAAGAAGGAAAGGTCCAAATAAGGGGAAAGCAGACGGAAAGGGAGAATGGTGCCGACCAACGAAGAAAGAAACAAATGTATGCAAGTGCCAACCAGCCGGAAGAAATCATAACATCGTTCTCGAGGATCCTTCTAGACCCCAATGCCCCCCCAGGTACGCCGTTGGCTCTCAGCCTCTGCTGCCCAAATCAAAATGCCTCCCCCTCCTTATGTATGACTGACTGAACTCAAAGAATATCTAACTTGCGCCTCGCATCTCCATAATCATCGTCAACTCCCCAATGCGCAGGACGCGACAGAAGAGTATTAATCATCAGCAGTCACCCTTGCATACATGCTCACACGGGCGATGCGCCATGCTCTGGGTGTTATTTCGATTTCTTTCTGGAGCCCATCCGGCCGTCGACATTTTCGTCATCGGGGCTCCATTCCTCCGGGTGAAAGTCAGGATTCCCAAAGTGCGCCCTATTCCACACACTGTTCTTGAACGTGCTTGTCGTTACCTGGAATGTGGGTTCTGGGTATGACCCCTTGCTACCGTCGTATTCAAGCTGCATCGGGCTGAAACGTATGGTGCATTCAGGTGAAGGAGGGACCAGTGAAGTCGGTGCAGCCATGATTGCGGGTCTTGTCACTCCCGCCGTTGCTGTCGTGTGTGGCGAAAGCGGGGTGGACGATTTGGGGAGCGAAGGAGGTGCTGGTGCCACAACCGGCGGCTGTTGAGTGGTAGATTGGGGGGACGGCGTCGTCAAGCCGTCACAATACTGTTGTGTCCAGGGGGGCTGTGACTGCGAAGCAGGCGAGAATGGCTCGCCCAGCGGGTCTGTTGGAGGAGATGCGAGAGGCGAGGCCAAAGGCATCACGGGCCCTGATGGGGGGCCGAACCCGGGAAGCATGCTCAGCATGCTGAAGTCGCCCGTGGCGAAAGCGCCCAGGTCGGTCTGGGTGCTCATTATGCCACCACCATTGTCATACGTGTTGACCCTGTGAACCTGAATTGACACTGGGTGCTGCGGTACCTCGACAGGCAGCGGTGGGGCACGATACAAGATGTCGTAGTGCGTGGGACGGAACAACAAGTAAATGACGGCGCCAAACTGTGATTCGTCTTGCTCGTTGGCCTCTTCGGGGAACCGGTATTTGGTGGCATGGGGGCCAGGGCTCCGGTCGAGATAGAGAATCTCCAAAACAACATTGATGGGCTTCAGGAGGATGTCGACAAGGGCTGTGATACCCAAATGCTCGATTTCCTTATTAGGAATGTCGACTGTGCTGCTGCAGTAGCCTGGGATACCGCCGGCGTCGGCAATGAATGGGTCGTAGGTCGCAGCATGCATCTTGAGAAACATGCCAGCCAGCATGCGGAAGTAGTAAATGATGCTCTGTGTCGCCCCATCATCGTTCCACCGTTGGAAAATCAGCTGATGCGCTATACTCGAGTTGCCAATATTGTCCGCGACATCCTGGAGCAGCGCCAGAGCTTCTTCGGCAAAATCTTCCCAGTACTGGTAGCCGACAGAGGGGAGCATCTGGTTTAGGCCGCGTAACCGGGCCAGTTCACTCTCGACCTGGCTTCTGTTGCCAATCTCTATGAGTTTCTCATAATAGGAGAAGCCAATGGCTGTTATAAGACCAGTCAGTCAGTATTTGATTCATCTCATTTAATCTTTGATCTCGATCGAACAGGGGGGCTCAATTGGAGAAAAAAACGTGGGGGCCGGCCGGGAGAATCTGACGAGCCAACGCCATGAAGCATCTGCCCACGCCGGCTAGCAACTCGAGCGATATCTGTCCAATCTGAGACGGCCCTAGGGGAGCAAGCCGGGCGGGATGATGCAACGGTGCACACGGGAGAAGGAATTTCGAGACACAACGGGAGTGGTGAAGAGAGTGGTAAAGATGCGGGGCCTGTCTCATAACTGACGACCCATGGATGCAGGGATGATCCGTCTACACATTTCATGTCCTTCTATGAGGGCACGCCAGACCTGCGAGAGCTCCCGTGACATGGTGGAGATGAGTGCATTTATTGCGAGGACAATTAAGTGAATGAGAACGACTTACCCCTCCAACCGCAATTGCCGTCACCCTGTATAGGTCGGTAATGCTGGAATGTCTGTGGTAGATTCTGCATGAAGATCAAAGTCAGCGCTGCTGTCTCGCACCAGCCCCAAGGGTCCTCGGTGTAGGGGTGTAGGGGGGCACATACATAGGTCTTCTCGACGAAGCTTGCATCAGCTTTCTCATACTCTTGAGTGATGATTGAAGTCGTAGTCTTCTCGCCAACCAGGGGGCCCTAGACACATTTGCGAGCTGTTAGCTGTCTGGTCTGCCTTGGATGGGACGCTTGCGAGCGATAGGTCTGGCGTCGCCGCCGGGAGAGGGAAAGGGGAGCGAATTAGAAAGAGTGGTCGTCCCGGGCGATCAATTGTGCGCGATGCAGTACGTCCGTGCGTGAGGGTCGGCGTGCGTGGGAGGAGTGGTTTTTTTTTGTTCTTCAACGAACCTCAAGATTTGGCTGGTAGTCTTTGGCGGCAGCCTGTTGCGCCGCAATGCCATGCGGATCCGGGTCCTCCATCTTGATCAATACAGGCGGCTGATGACGATGCGAGACAATGTGTTGTCGCTGCTGCTGCTGTTGGTGGGGCGGCGGGCGAGAATGGCCCAGAGGCTGCGGTGAGCTGTAGGCGAGACCTCGAGAAGGAACACCGGGCGCAGCGCCAATTCCTGTGGCCCCAAGACCCGGTGCAGCTCCAGCCGTCGTGCCTGCAATGGAGCTGTGGGCAGGTCCTCCGCTGGAAGGGATATGGAAGCCGAGGTCGAGCCTTTGGCCTAGCAGGCCATAAGACAGCGCCGTGGCGCGCGAAGGCTGAGGCGGGTTCGAAACGGGCTGTGGCGGCGACGGGAAGGCGTACGGCGTCGATGCGAAGCAGGCGGAGGCGAAGGGCGTGGGTTGAGGCTGGAACATGCCTCCGACTCCAGTCGCACGCGCGAGGGTCGAGAGCGAGGGAGGAGAGAGGGAATTCGACGGCGACGCGAGGTGGAGGAGAAGGAAGAGGTGATTAGAGTTCAAAAGGCTTGGACTGGGAGGTCGTGTTAGTTAGTTGGTGAAGGCGGTGGAGTTTTGGCGTGCGAGAGGTGAGGTGTGGGTGGCAGTTTAGTAGCAGGCGGAGTGATCACTGGCCTGAGGGTGATCCCGGGAGGGGGTCTGTCCGCTGTAGCAGGGTCAGGACACCAGAGCAGGCCGGTCAGCGGCCGTAGCGTGCGCTAGAGAGCAGGTTTGGAACCGCCTAAGTCCCAGTGCGCGGGAACAATCTACGATGCTCGGAAGCGAGGTCTAGCGCTGTGGGAATCTAGCACTGGCTAGCGGGCTGTAGGTGACCTGCTTAGTGACGTGACCCTGCTAGCCTCTAGGTGGGAATTAGTGGATGCGGGGCGACGGTCTTACCCGCTTTGAAATGGAGCCCAATCTTCTGGTCTCAGTTGGTGGTGCAGCCGTGCTCGCCTGCTCTGCTTGCCGTTTCTGGTGGTGGAGGATGTGGCGTGCCTCTCTTTGGAACTGAATTGACCGAGGCCGTGTAGGAAAAAAGATGTTCTGTGGAGGAGAATTGTGAGCCATTCGGATCCGGAAATCGAGAGGGCGGTCACCCCATGGGAAGATCAGAGCATGAATGGAGTGCATACCGGGAGGAATCACCTTCCGAATTTTCTGCTGCCAATCACTGCTGGTCGTATCTGCAAATACGTGAAAATGGTATGGCCCTAGTAACGTCGACGAATAGCGGAACGAGCGTTGGAAGACTGAGGATCAGCGTTGGCGTTGAAAGGTGGGCTAATGGCTGGTCGAGGTTGTGATAGGTCAACTCGGGCGAATGCGCGATGTTGGATTGACGAACTCCGGAGCTGGGGCGGTCGGCCAAATATTGTAAGTAGCTGCAGATTGTAAGTGACGGGCTGGAATACTACGTAGAGATCGACGATGGCGGGCTAGCGAAGCGACGAGAAAAGGGAAAAGAAAATATTCCAGAAAGCGCTTGCTCGCCGAGATATGCTGGTGAAGGAAAGGAAAAAAGGACCACGGAGGAAATGGAGGATTTGAGGGCGGCGGGTCCGAATAAAGCAACAGCGAAGGGTGGTGTGATGCGATACTGGGCGAATGGCGGTGCCCTGGATGTGTGGATGTAATAATTATATGTATGTAGGTATATAATGCAGTTTCAAATCCCAGCACAGCTCATTCCCTGGATCCTTGGACCCTCTTTGATGGGGATGAGTAAATAAAAACCAAAGGCTGACGATCAGGCCCAGCGCAACGGTTCGAGGTGGTGAGGAGATGACAAGGGACTTCTGTGGTCCAGCGTGATGGTGGCTTGCTTATTAGTGCAGAGATGCCAACTACAAAGGTCATGACAATGGCCAGTGCAGCTAATGGGGAGCAAGCAAGCCGAAGCAAGTGATGGGGAGGGTTGGTGCGGCCAACAGCCAGCAACGGCGGCATCAATAAAAGCAGGGGAGCTGTTGCTCTTTGCTTGGCCTCGCTCGCCTCATGGGCAGCCAGGGCCAGACGGACCGTGACCGAGCAAACTGGAAAACTTACCTTGGCGGCCAATAGTGCCTAGTGTGTTGCTTGAGACGAGCGGTGGTTCAATTACTGGTGGGCAAGTCGAGACAGGACGGAGAGGCCAGAGAGAGGAAGAGATGGAAGAGGGAAAGGAAGCGGGGAGAGGGAGAGCAAAGAAGGTTTATGTGATGGCATGGAAGATAGCAGATGAAGAAGGGGAGGACTTCGAGCAGGTCATGGATGCGAGCAGCCCAGACGGGGTGTGTGCGAAGCTGTTCGCTGTGTCTCGCTCAAGGGACGGTATGCCCCGTTGGGACAGCCAGACTCTCTGCTGCACGGCAAGGAAGGCTTTGTTTTACTCTGCTCTGCTCTGCTCGGCTTGCCTGACTGTGCGTTCACAGGTCGATGATACTTGACACCTCTATCTCCGGGTCCTCGAATTGCCGTCTCATGCCCCATCCTCCCGCCATTACCACCTCGAGCAGCAGCAATCATCTAATAAACCAACACCCAACTGCGGCTTCCCGTGTACAGAGCTAGCAGACCCCAGCTTGTTGGGTCGTCACCATAGGGCGCCCTCTCTTCCCAGTACTCTGTGCCTCATCTCCCGGCCCTTCTGCCCTGGCCCTGACCTGGTACGTACTACAAGATACTTGCTTGTGTTACACAACCACCAAGCAGCCACCCCCCTCCTCCATCTGCTGCCCTCAGTCGTCCCCTTTCCCTGCTTCGGCAGACAGACTGGAAATTGGGCACTGTGATTGACAGCCACCCTGTCATAGTGGCCAGCCTTCTGGGTATATGCCTGGACGGTGGAATGGGCTCTCAGAAGCACTGCCGGTGCTACCTATCCTACCTATCCTAACCCATCGACAACATACATACTAGTCGTACATACATCATGCTGACAGGGACCGGGTGCAAAAGATACGATACGATACCCTGCATAGGCATACATGATATTACAACGTAGGAAGGGAAAGGACTTCGCAGAACCAGCCGGCAATCGCTCACGTTGTTAGTGGATGCTGGTCGTGGAGGAGGCCTTCACACGTAGCCTGGCTGCTCCTCGCGACCGCCCATCCCACGGCACTAAGGTATCATCGGCCATTGCAATTGGACCCAGCCCTGGGCCATGGGCGGCCGTGTTATGTAATGCCGGCAGAGACCAACAAGCAGGGCAATGAGAGAAGGGAAGGGGAGGGGAGGGGGTGGAAGAGATACCAAGAGGAAAAAGAAAAGAGAACCAGTTCCCATCAGCCATTGACGGTGACCGCCTAACAAGCCGCACACACCAACTCCTCGTCAGTCACCAACGTTATTAAACGAGCAGTTCCCCGTCTGCCCAAGTGCGTACCCATCACCACACATGTGCCATGTACTTGGCGTTGAACAGGTCCTTTGCCGTGCTTTGGTGGGATCGTCACGGGAAGGGGAGGTACCTCTGACGGTGGAACCAAGTCACTCCCGTGAGTCCCGTCCATCCATGTCTCTGGCCGCTATCCATCTGCACGGAGGCGGCGTCCAATCAGGCAGGTAACGCAGGTCAATCAAGAGACTGGGTTGACGGGCCTGGCGTTTAATGATGGGAGGTGGTACGGAGTAAGCTCCAGGCCCAAGGTGGGCGTCGATCAGATCCGCAGCGGATGGGAAAAGTCCACAAGGCCTCTACCAAGGCTCCGAGAATCCCGTTTTTTTTATGATGTGCTGTTTGGCTGTGCGTATGGACCTGTTTGCTTTATTCTTGCCATCTGCACTAGTTGTAAGCAGGTAGGCAAGGAGATCCCTCTCATCTCTGAGGCCTGCCACGTGTAGGGCCAGAGTTGGCTGGAGCCGACTCGCAGAAGCACGCTGCTGCAGGCCTCTCACTGGCCCCTGCAAGTTATGTGGATGGGTGTTTTGCTGTCTGCTGAGTGGCCAGCGCTTTGGCTCTGCGCTGCTTTTGACCTTAGCTCACTCATTAGCTGCTTTGCTTTGTCTGCTCGCATCACATTGCTTTGTGCGTCGCATGAATCTGCGCTGCTTGCTTTGCATCACTTTGCTTTGCCAATCTCCATCCTCAGATAGATACATCATCTTGAGATAGCCATGCTCGAGGCCTGACACATCGCATCGGTCTGCCATGCGCTGCCCCAGTCCCAGGGCCCAAACCCTCCCGGCCATTGTCGCCCCCGCTGAGTACTATCGATCAAGCATTGATCTCTGGTGCTTGACTGCTGGGTTCTAGGCTGTTGGCCTGCTTCACCGCGTCCATCCACCAGCCCCTCCATCACCGAGCCATCTCCAGTATCAGCAGAATAAGCCCTATTGCGCGCACATGTCTGTTGGGGCCTAGCTCCGTTTCTGCCATCGACAGCACAGCAATCGCATCACACGGGACGATGCTGTACGTACTTGGCAGATCTCGCAGCGCCGCGGCTGTACCCCAGACTGTCCTGGGGCCGTTGAGGGCGCAACAGAGCACCGCATCTCGTGCTCGTACTTGCGCAGGCAATACGACGCCAGGCCACACGCTTCGGACAAGTCGGCGACGAGCCAGCTACTCCCAGTGATGACTCGATGCCTCCCCCCTGTCTGTCTATCCATCCCATCGGTGCATTGCATCCATTCATCCACGCCTACCACGGTCCAGACTGCCAGTGCTGCAACCTCGTCGTTCCCTCGACCGCCCTGTCCCCAATGCCAATGTCCGCCTTTCCTTTTCCTTTCTTTTATTTTATTTTATCTTCTTTTCTTTCGTGGCCCCGCCTCATGTCGAATCAAGTTACCAGCTGGCTGGCAGCCGGTAGTGTTTCAGTCGAGTTGGGCCCCTTCCCGCACCCATCCCATCCCATCACCGTCTCCCCACACACAGCATAATACATGTATCCGATCATCATATCATGACTGGCACACACTGGATACGCGACTTATTACTACCTACGTACATGACGCACCGATATGACAAACCGGAGCTTGACGGCGTGCACCCCATCCGACACGACTCTGCGCGTGCATCTAGATGGAACATGCAGCGGCCTTGCATGCGTGTGCATGTACGTCCATGTATCCAGGCCATCTTCGCCGTGACCGCCAGATGAAGGAGGGATGCAGTCGGCACATAGATACACACACATACCCTGGACCTGGCCATCTCCGCCCTCGTGCAATCCAATAATGCCTGAATTATCACCATCACCGGGGCCGACCGCCATGCTAAGGGCAGGGTCGCTTCTTAACGTGATGGCGGGGTTCCAACCCGGCCGAATGAAGCCCAGACCCTGCCCGAATCGTGTTTGATTGACTGATTCTCTGAGGGATGGCTGCTGGATGGACGGTCGGCTGTTTTGAATCGATAGACTGCCATCGCATGCCCATTCCATTCCATCCATGCCCGTCCAGCCAGCTCTCCCCAGATGGCGCCACGT